TCCAATCTGAAATCCTTTTTTTAAAACTTCTTAACATACACAATGACATGTAAAAACTTTCGATCAATTATATTTTAAAACTTATGAGCAAAAAATTTTTTAAAATCATCCGATTTTAGTGCTAAAAAAGTAACAAGACCCCTTAATCATCAGAACTATTTAAATAATCGTTAGAGAACTCTAGAACTATTGCTAAAGTACCCAGAACTCTTGTAAAATTTTTGATTTTTTTAAAAAGTAATATTAACTTTACATGACTGAACTCATGGAACTCTCAATTTATGATAAATTTTTTTTTAAATTCAAAGTCTTGTAGTTCAGTAGTTTTTAAGTTTTGACAAAATTGCAATATAGATTTTTTATTAATTTTAATGAGGGCCTGACAGAACTCTGATCAGAACTCATGGAACTCTCAATTTCTAATAAATTTTTTTTTTTGATAATTCAAAGTCTCGTAGTTCAGTAGTTTTTGAGTTTTGAAAAAATTGTTATTAAGGTTTTTTGTCGAACACTATCGGGGGCTAACAGTACTCTGATCAGAACTCATGGAACTCTCAAAATATAAAAGATCAAATTTTTTTGAAAATTTAAACTCTTGTAGTTTAGTAGTTTTTGGGTTTTGAAAAAATTGTTATTAATGTTTTTTGTCAAACACTATTGGGGGCTAACAGAACTCTGATCAGAACTCATGGAACTCTCAATATATAAAAAAACAATTTTTTTTTGAAACTTTAATGTCTTGTAGTTCAGTAGTTTTTGGGTTTTGAAAAAATTGTTATTAAGGTTTTTTGTCGAACACTATCGGGGGCTAACAGAACTCTGATCAGAACTCATGGAACTCTCAAAATATAAAAGATCAAATTTTTTTTGAAAATTCAAAGTCTTGTAGTTTAGTAGTTTTTGGGTTTTGAAAAAATTGTTATTAAGGTTTTTTGTCGAACACTATAAGGGGCTAACAGAACTCTCATCAGAACTCATGGAACTCTCAAAATATAAAAGATCAAATTTTTTTGAAAATTCAAACTCTTGTAGTTTAGTAGTTTTTGGGTTTTGAAAAAATTGTTATTAAGGTTTTTTGTCAAACACTATCGGGGGCTAACAGAACTCATAGAACTCTTAATTTATGATAAAAAATTTTTTTGTAATTTTCAAACTTTTGTAGTTTAGTAGTTTTTCGGTTTTGAAAAAATTGTTATAAATGTTTTTTATCTATCTCGATGGGGGGCTAACAGAACTCTGATCAGAACTCTTTTTTCGTAAAATTTTAATTTTTTTGAAAAATTCTGGAATTTTCAATTATTTTTTTTATGATTTTGGATTATGAGAACTATTGAAATAAACTGTAGGGAACTCTAGAACTCTCTTATAGCTACTTAGAACTCTAATAATAAATCCATTTTTTCAATAGTGGGGGGCTGCGTGAAGTTAGCCCCCCATTATGAAAAAACCTATTTTTTACCATTTAATCGCCGGAACTATTTCTAAAAACTATCAGGAACTCCAGAACTATTGTAGAGGAAGTCAGAACTCTAAAAAAAATTTAATTTTTTTGAAAGTGGGGGGCCAACTTCACATACATTAAGTTAAGTAACTATTTATTTAATAGCAATCAATAGCAATTGAATAATAGTACAAAAATAATAGCAACAAATAAATAGCAATTAAATAAAAGCAATTAAGTTATTAATTTGTAAATTATGTTAACAATGTTATTACAGTGTTAACATAATCTACTAATTAATATACTTTTTTATTTATTTCTTAATTTTTACGTTATTATAATAAAATTCATTTATTTTTTAATTCTTTTTAATACAATTTATATTGTAATTTTGAAGTGTTAAAATGGCATGTCACATACACGACATGTCTGAGTGGTAAACCGATATGGAAAAGTCAGCGCATGATTCAGCGCTTTAATTTTTAATTATATATCTACATTTTATATTCGCGCACAAAAAACTATATCATATTCTGTATACAAAAAAAATAATATATCTCAGAAAATATAATAATTATTTATTAAAAAACTATTTTATATTTATAAATTTAATTTAAAACTTAGCAAAACTTGATAGAAAAATTTACTGTTAAAATTTATTAAAAAAATGTCTTCACTTATTTTCTTTTAATTTATTTAATGATTATTTAGGTAAACATATATATGCATATAGGCATTAAAAATTCACAACATTGATTGGTGTGACCTACCTTCAACTTTTTTTAAATTTTATATAAATTTGTTTTATAAAATTATATTATTCAGATAACCTGTTGTATAATCAATTTTATTAATGGTATAATTTAAAAGAATTAAAAATGAAAAAATAAAAAGATAGAAAAATAAAAAACTAAAAAAACTTAAAAGAAATTAAAAACTATCATATAAATAGTTTATAAAGATAATTTTTTTATTCGACACAATTTTTTAAAAGCGGTCATAGTTATTATAATTTTATGTCATAAATATTTATTCGAATAACACATGGAGAAAATGACGTCAAACTCTATAAAATTTGGTTAAAATTCTGAAATGTATATAAATAGAATTTTAATTCGATTCATTTAGAGATATTTGCGACGTATTTTTTTTTTTTTTTATTATTTTTTTTATTTTTTAAATAGACTTGAATTTTGAATATTCATACAATTTAAGTGGGTGTATTAGAAAATTTATGACTTAAGATATTGAATTTAATTTGTAACACTATGACGAATGATTATAAAGTGTGATTGAATTTTATTAGAAATATCATTCTAAATAGAGTATCGCGTAAGACTTTTATAACATCTAAATAATATGCAAATTTCATTTTAATTTATCTTATCTGTTTGTTTAATAATGAAGATGTGAATGAATAATTATTTTTATTTGTTAACTGCTGTATGCTAAATTTTTATTTCTTTTTTCATTTTTATTTCATATTTATTTTTTTTCAATTTTTATTTTTTAATTTTTTTTTGCTTTCTTATTTTCTTTCTTAAAAAAGAAAACAATTTATTTTTTTAAAAAATTACATTAAATTAAAGAAACACAAAAATTAGAAATAAAAAAATTTTTTTTATTTCTAATTTTTGTGTTTCTTTAATTTATTTCCTATTTTTTTCTTCCTTAAGAACAAAAGTAAGAAAAAAAAGAACAAAAAAAATAAATTTATTTATTTATTTTTAATTTTTATAATTCGACTCACGCATAATATTGTTACAGTAGACGCACATAAATTATTAATTGACGATACATAAACCTGAAAGATATTTGCCACACCCAACATTATATCTATATTTTCTAACCGAGAGAATCAGACCCTCAGTGCATGTGCACTCGTTGATGATATTGAGACTACAAAAGTGATTCATTCAAATTTTGTAAACGTTTTAAGAGAAAAAAGTAACAGACTCATCAGATATATATTTAAATTAAAAAAAAAAATTATAATTCCATTCAACTAATTTTACTTATTTTTTTTTTTTTTAAACAAATTTATTTTTGTAGAGCATTTTTATATACAACTCGCGGCAAAATGATATTTTGACTCAATCGCGTTATATATATTTTTTTATTTCAAAAAAAAATCTTTCATGGATAAGAGCCAAAATAATTTTAAAATTATTTGCCCTCGAGGGGGGTTGGCCTGCTTTCATTTCATTGTTATTTTTTATTCTTAAATTTTTTAGATGCTCTTAAAACATTTTTATATCCTTGAATGAAATTCTTCTCTTTGTTTCTATTTTGTATATTGTATATTAGATGCAATAATAGTTATATTGAGTACAATAGTTATTTTAATAATTAAAAATGAAATAAAAAAGTAATAAATAAAAAAATGTACAATAATATAATTGAAATAGTTATAAAATAATACAATAATTCAAATTATTTCACAAATAATAAATAAAATAGTAACAATAATAATAAATAAAAAATTAAAAATATTCCATTTAAAAAATTGTTCTTTTAAAATAAAAATAACTTTTCTCAAAAATATAACACCTTTTGTATTTGTTAAGTTGTTAATAAGGTAATACTAATTAAGAAAAGCAATTTATAATGAACTAATGAAAAATTAATTAATTAAAAAATTAAATTAAATTAATTAATTAATTAATTCTAGACAATAATTTTAATAATTATATTTAAAAATGTTTTTCCAATTATATTCATAAAAGCAATTTAATTCAATTAATTATTTAATTAATTTTTTATTACATTTTTTTTACTAATTATTTATTATTATTTAATTACTTAATTTATTAAAGCTATTTAATTAAAAATATTTCAAATTTCATTATTTTTTACTTTCATGGAAGCAATTTAAAATTTAATTCTTTTAATCAATTAAAATTATTGAATTTTATTTGCCTTCGTTTTAATTAAAAAGCAATAAAATGATAATTTTAAATTTATTTTTATTTATGAATAAAATTAAACTTTTTATTTAATTTGGATAGCAGTAAATATTAAATTCATTTAATGACTATTAAAAATTATATTCATTTAGTTTATTTGCCTCTGTTTTAATAAAAAAAAGAATAAAATAATTTCAATTAATTTTGTTTATTATTATAATTAAACTTTTTATTCGTTTAGAAAACAGTATTTTATTTGTTTAAATAACTTTAAATATTTTATTCTTGTAATTTTTTTTTGTATTAGTTCATTTGTCTTTTTTTTAATTATTTATTATTAAAAACAAATAAATAAAATTGAATTAAGATTTTAATTAATTTCACGAATGAATAAAATTAAAATCTTTATTTATTTAGAAAATAGTTAATATTTTATTTATTTATTTATTTATTCTTGTAATTTTATTCATTTTTTTTATTGATTATTGATGTCGTTATTTTATTTATTATTTATCTCGTTATTTTTTTTATTATTTATCTCGTTCAATTTCTTATTTTTTTAAATTATAAAAGAAAATATCTACTTTATCAACAAATTGACACTATCGCCCTCTGGGGGTCAAATTTGCAACCACTTTCTGTTTTACCGACAGTTTCATCAGCTGTGGATTTTTGACAGTGAGCAGACGAAATAATCATACGTGGTTTGTTGTGATCTTAATTTTACTCTTTTTGCCATTATATCGAATCAAAGTTTTTGCAAAAATGTCCGGAAAAGTAAAAACAAAACAGGAGAAGACTGGTGGTTAGTAAAAATCATATATTACTTTGAATATTACCTCGATTATTGAACTCTGTTTGATACAGTCAATTTTAAGGTTATGTTGGTTGTGTACCGTGATGTGTACTTTAAAAGTTTCTTTTTTAGTAAAAGTTATTTATTATTCGTATATTATGGAAAACTGAATGGAAGTAAATAATCTTTTATTATTGTTAACATTTTTCAGTTTTCCTATTAATTTAATTTCTATTGCAACTACTAACCTTGTAATTTCGATTGAAAATCAAATGAGTTGTCACTAATTTCTAGTACTGCTGAATTCATACAGTCATTCACGAATTTTACATATTTCATTACATTTTCACTAATTTTCAGTAGTGATAAATTTATACAGTTATTCACGAATGTTGTGTATTAATTTAATGATATGTTCATTTCACGTACATTACCATTTTATTACATGTTCATTTCATGTACTTTTTATGTAGATTTCATTACACTTTTAGAAGTTGGAATTGTTATTAAGTCACAAAATTAATAAAAATTGTGATATTGTTTATTAGATGTTATCGCCTACAGCGAAATGGCTGTGAGAAATAATGCAGCAGTTGTAGAATATTGTAGAATATCAATGGCCGCATTGTCTGGTGGTATCGCAGGTCTTTTAGGTTTAACCAGTTTATATGGGTTTGGATTTTACATTTTTGCAGTCATAGGATTGTGGGTGAGTTAATAATTTCATTTCTGCAATTTATTATCGAGTCAGAGGGAGAGAAAGGTCTAGTAATTGTTTTTAATTTTAGGCAATGCTTCTAATGAAGGCAGGTGGGCAGTGGAAAAAGTATTTTATCAGCAGGCGAGCTTTATTGACAAATGGTTTTTTCGGTGGATTATTCGTATCCTTTCTAAACATTTTCTTCTCTTCTCATTTATTTCTCTTCAAGTTCTGAACGTTCAAATGAACAAAATTTATTTATTTCTTCTGCAAATTAAAAATTTATTTCAATTTTACTGCGTCTTGTATTAAAATTAATTCAATTCTTCAAATTAAAATTTTATTTACATATTATTGCGGCACTTCTTAAAATTAATTCTGCTTGTCAAATTAAATTTAAATTAATTAATTAATTACTTCATAAAAATTAAGTAAATTCTTCAAATTAAAATTTTATTTCAATTTTATTGCGACACTTATTAAATGTAATTCAAATTAATTAATTAATTTATGAAAACTAATTCAATTCTTTAAATTAAAATTTTATTTCAATATTATTGCGTCACGTATTAAAATTAATTCAATTCTTTAAATTAAAATTTTATTTGCATGTTATTGCGATACTTTTTAAAATTAATTAAATTTGTCAAATTAATTAATGAATTGATCAAAATTAATTTAGTTCTTCAAATTAAAATTTTATTTCAATTTTATTGCGTCACGTATTAAAAGAAAAATAAATTGTAAATATTCTAAATGATTAATTTTGTTTTTGTATTTTATAACAGTCAGTAATTTTTGAAAATATTTTATATTGACAATGATTATTGTTTATTTGAATGTACAGAACTTATGGAGCATTCTCTTTTCGACAGTTTGTTGGTAGTTCAATATCTAAATTAAAAATTTAATTTCAGTTTAGATCAATATTGAAAATTTTGTTGATAAAAATATTTTTAATTGGTTTGATTTATGAATTGATCTATAAATTAGTAGTAACGTTTCATTTGAATTTTTCTAAAGTTTTGAACGTTTAAATAAACGGAATTATACAAAAATAAGTGGTTTAATTTAATTTAATTCAAAAATAATTTTTGGTTCACTGTATAACAAAGTTAATTAAGTTTGATTCAAATATATTGGTTTCCCAGTGTTTTATTAAAAAAAATATTGCATTATTCTATTATATAGTTAATTATAATATTTTATTTGAAAAATATTGTAATTAAAAATTTATTTAGTTAAAAAATATAATAGTAATTATGAAAATTATTATTTTGCAAATAAAATTCAAATTATAGTAAATAATAAAAATATCGTCGTTGATTTGAATGTTCAAAACTTTAGCGACAATGAATTTGAATTTAATTTTCGTAATTTATCATTCAATTCTTGAAATTAGAAATCGTTGTTAAATTTTTTTCTGGAATTATTTTACTTCTTTTTTTTAAATCTACTAAGTTTGAATTTGAAATTTTTTGGATTTGAAAACAATTTTTGGATTCGAATACAATTTTTGGATTTGAAATAGATTTCTCCTAAAAAAATATTGGAAATTTCCTTAACATTTTTAAATAGACGTATGTTTTATTCTGGACATTCCTCTACGGTATGGTACACGTGTACTGAGACTGCAACTATTTTATTGAAAAAAATTTTTTTTCTACATTAAAAATCTTTCTTTTTAAGACACAAGAATAATTCTATCAGGGATCTTCGCTCTAATAACAAAGAGTCATATATATGTGTTTCTCAAAAAATAATAATTAGACAAATTGATGTAAATATGTATTTCACTGCGCAATCCATAGGCGATAAGGTAGAAATAATATATATTCCGATAATGTGGAGTTTTCACATTTTATTTCTTTCATAATGTACAATTTTAATAAACGTCATTGATAAATACTTGAATGATGTCATTAACAAAATATTGTAAAAATTAATTATTCTAGAGTTTGCCTTGGAAAATCTATTTTTAAAATTGCTTTCATTTGAAACGAATTTCAAAAACTTGTTTATATTTTGTTTGCATTTTTCAAATAGACTTTTCAGTGGTAAACTTTCTTTTAAATTGGCGCATTGTCTAGGAGGGGGACTCGCACACACTTAGTCTTAAATTATATTAGATCGTTTTACATATTTTTTTTCTTAGAGTTTTATTTTTTTATTCGAGAATTCGATTAATCTTTAGTAGATTTTTTAAAATCACTCGTTCTCTACTTTGTACTTATCATGCTCTTGATAATTATTTCTAAAATTCTTTTTTTCTTTTTGAGGGTGAAAAATATTGCTGAAGTGGAAATTGAGTTTCTTTCTTTGATAATAAGGATCGGTTTCTGTTTAAATTTTTGTTTCAGATGTAGAGACAGGGTCAGATTCTTGACATTCGATTTCAAAGGGAGAAATTCCTGTTTCCATGCCTTCTAATTTTTTTTCCGCGTCCATTTCTTCGATTTCGTCTTTACTGAGATGATAGACAATTCCAGCTCCAAAACCATCGCCAAGGACGTTAATTGATGTTCTCAGTCGATCCCTAGAAGTAAGTGTGGTAATTCTTTTCTATTAACTTTTCTAATTTAATTGTAGGAAGATTTAGAGTTTAAACTTTGAGGAGAAGGACTTTGAAATTTGAGGAGTTTTCGGAGGAATTATTTTCGAACTTACAATAGCCAATCTACGGTGAAAAGTAAAGAGACATCGCTTGTTGGGAGTCCAAGGGCAGTTAGTACCAGAAGCATAGTAATTAGAGCAGCGCTGGGAATACTTGCAGCTCCTATGCTTGCTAATGTGGCAGTAAAACTAAAAGAACGACACGTTAAGAAGACGAGAAATTTGGAATTGTAAATTACTTTTTCTTGCCGGATGTTTCATTTTATTATTCGGAGGAGAAAATAACTTTTTACGCAAACAAACCTGACAGTGATTACGTCGCCGATTCCGAGGGAAATTCCATTCATTTGAGCAATAAAAATTGCGGCAACGGCTTCATAGAGAGCAGTCCCGTCCATGTTTACTGTCGCTCCGACCGAAACAACAAATCGACTCACTCTTGGATCAAGTTTATTATTTTCTTCCAAACACTGAAAGGTAATTGGCAGTGTTGCTGCACTGTGGAATTCGTTTTAATCAGGCCCAAAGCAATTTTTCTCTTTACAACCATTTGCAGAAAAAAAAACCAAGAAAATTGTTTTCCCAGGCTTCGTACTCATCTACTAAAATCTATTTACTACTTTTTTTTACAATTTCCTACTATTTGGATACTTTTTTTTAGATTTCTGACACTCAAAGCTCTTTTCTATGTTTGAAAATTTGAACTACTTTAAATTCTCTGATATTTGGAGTAAAAAAATTATTCTCAAAAATTTTAATAATATTCTTAGAAGTAATTCAAAAATTTTAATGACATTCTTTCAAACGATTCAATTATTTTCGAAAATTTTTCGAAATTCAATTTTCAATATTTAATATTTAAATAAAAAATTTTCCAAAGGAATTCAATTATTTAAAGGAAATTTTTATAAAATTCTTTGTAAATATTAAATTATTTTCATAAATAATAAAATTTACACAGAGATTCAATAATTTAAAACACAACTTTCATAAAATATTTCGAAAAAAGCAATTAGAAAAGATTTTTAGAAAATTCTCCACATGAATTCAATTATTTTTAGTTTTAATAAAATTCGTTGCAAAAATCCAATTATTTTCGTAAATATTAAAATTCATTGTAGGATTTCAATTATTTTGAATACAATTTGAAATAAATTCTTCGAAAAATGGAATTATTCTTAAGAATTTTATTAAAATTCTTCAAAAGAATTCAATTGAGGGCTCGGATCGAAGAACCGACGCTTCGCAATGTTCTGTGCGTTTACAAGCGTCGTTTCTTCGATCCTAGCCCTCAATTATTCAAAAAAAAAATTTAATATCATTTTTTTTATTAGAATTTGAAAATTCTTTCAATAGATTTTCAATAAAATTTTTTGAAAGAACTTAATTATTTTTAATAATTTTAATGAAATTCTTCGTAACAATTCAATTATTTTAAAAAAATATTAATAAAATTCTTTGTAGAAATTTAATTAATTTCAAAAAATTGTCGAGATTCAATTATTTTTAATATCTAGATTTTCAATAAAATTTCCACAGAAGAATTCAATTAGGTACCTATTTAAAAAAAATTTAATAAAATTCATCCCAAGGATTCAATTATTAAAAAGAATTTCATTAAATTTTTTTGAAAATAATCAAATTCTTTCAGGAAATTTTATTAAAAATGTATTGAAAAGAATTTTTCATTTATAATAAACAAATTATACAAAATTTTTTTTTAAGTAATTGAATTCGTTGGAATAATTTTTTTATTAAGTTAAAAAATCCTTGGGAAAAATTCAATTATTTTCGTAGAATTTGAATTAAATTTCTTGATGGAATTAAATTCTTTTTAAAATTTGTAACTAAATTCGCTGATGGAATTTGCTTATTTTTAAAAATTGTGATAAAAATGTTTAGAAGAATTTAATTCTTTTCAGTATAATTGTAATTAAATTCCTCGTTCGAACTTAAATTTTTTTTCTAAAGAATTTAAATTTGAATTTGAATTCTAAACAATTGAATTTGTATTTTCACAAATTTTCTTTCTTTATTATTTTTATTTATTATTTTCATAAATAATTAAATTTTCATAGGAATTCAATTATTAAAAAAAATTTAATGAAGTTCTTCGCAAGAATTCAATTATTCTTGTAGATAATAAAATTCTTCTCAAGAATTCAGTTATTTTAGAAAATTTTAAATAATATCTTTGTAAGATGCAATTATTTGTAAATATTTGATTAAAAATCTGAAAGGAATTCAATTATTTAAAAAAAATTTGATACAACTTGTTTATAAGAATTTAATAATTATTTTCAATGCATTTTTAATTAAATTTTTTAAGAGAATTTAATCATTTTCAAAAAATTTAATGAAATTCTTTGTAACAACTCAGTTATTTTTAATACAATTTTAAAAAAATTTCTTGAACTGGAATTATTTTTAAAAAGTTTAAGAAAATTTGTTGATAGAATTGATTTATTTTTAAAAATTGTGACAAACTTTGTAGAAGAATTCAATTATTTTCAGTACAATTTTCATTAAATTCCTCGTATGAATTTAAATTTTCTTCGGAACAATTGAATTTGAATTTTTACAAATTTTATTTTTCTTATCATTTTTGTCTTTTATGTTCATAAATAATAAAATTTTGATAGGAATTTGTTATAATTTGTTTATTATAATTAAGGTTTAAAAAATATTCAATTATTCAATAAATTATTAACTTTTGTATTTAAATAGTTACATTCCCTTTGAAGTTTGTATTAAAAATTTATTTAAAATTGAATTTCAGTTAAAATTTCAGGTAATAATTGAATATTAAAAGTGTATAGTATAAATTTTTAGAAATAAATTTTGATTTTGAAGTAAAGATGATTAAAGTTTTAAATAATTTGATTTAAAAATTTCAATGAAAAATGAATTGAATTTTGGAAGAATGAAGAAATACGGTTGTAATTTTTAGAAATAATTAAATTTTAGAAAGGCTTTACATTGAAATCATTTAAAGTATTTTAATTCCCATGGAAAAATAAATAGGCATTTAAATATTTATTTAAGCTCGGTGAAACAAGCGACCCGCCGGCCGCCAGCCATCAGAAGAATCCATAGGCGCCGACACACATAGTAGCGCGGTGGCCCTATACGGTTCAATCAACGCAAAAACAACGTACGCTAGCTATTACAGTTTATAGAAAAAATTGCAATAGTCACATTTTAAACAGCAATAATCTCCCTTTAATTTGTGACCAAGAAATAAAAATTAAGTCTAAAATTGTTCGAGTTATGAATTTTTTTCGATTTTTTTTCCAATTTATTATGAATTACGAATACAAATTAAAACAAAAAATTAAACAAGGACTGTAGAAAATTGCAACCTCCACGCGGCACACTCTGGGGTAATGAATTTATTCATCAGCTAATCGCAGGGATAGAAACAACTTATGCAAACTAAAATCAATATAAAAACTTTAAAAAAAGTACTAAAAAAATTCAAAACTCAAACAGTTTTCTAACAATTTTTTTTTTTAATAGAAAATAAAAAAGGATTATCGCCTTTTAAAATAAAACAATTGCAAATTTTTATTTTATTAAATTTTTAATAGACAGCGTTCCCACCCGCCCGTATCAGAAAAACGAAAATTGAAAAAAAATTCATAACTCGATCAATTTTCAACCAAATTTTTGTTTCTTGGTCGCAAATTAAAGAGGGATTAATGCTTCTTGTCATTGGATCAATAAGAATATGTTTAAAAAATTTTTGATAGCCAGCGTCCCCACCCGCACGTATCAGAAAAACGAAAATTGGAAAAAAATCGGAAAAAAATTCATAACTGGAACAATTTTAGACCACATGCTTATTTCTTGGTCGCAAATTAAAGAGGGATTAATGCTTCTTGTCATTAGACTAATAGGAATATGTTTAAAAAATTTTTGATAGCCAGCGTCCCCACCCGCCCGTATCAGAAAAACGAAAATGGAAAAAAAAGTTCAAAAAAAATTCATAACTCGATCAATTTTTGACCAAATTCTTGTTTCTTGGTCGCAAATTAAAGAAGGATTAATGCTCCTTGTCCTTGGGCCAATAAGAATATGTTTAAAAATTTTTTGATAGCCAGCGTCCCCACCCGCCCGTATCAGAAAAACGAAAATGGAAAAAAAAATTTAAAAAAAATTCATAACTCGAACAATGTTCGACCAAATTCTTGTTTCTTGGTCGCAAATTAAAGAGAGATAATTGATTCTTGTCATTAGACCAATAGGAATATGATTAAAAAATTTTTGATAGCCAGCGTCCCCACCCGCCCGTATCAGAAAAACGAAAATGGAAAAAAAAGTTCAAAAAAAATTCATAACTCGATCAATTTTTGACCAAATTCTTGTTTCTTGGTCGCAAATTAAAGAAGGATTAATGCTCCTTGTCCTTGGGCCAATAGGAATATGATTAAAAAATTTTTGATAGCCAGCGTCCCCACCCGCCCGTATCAGAAAAACGAAAATGGAAAAAAAAGTTCAAAAAAAATTCATAACTCGATCAATTTTTGACCAAATTCTTGTTTCTTGGTCGCAAATTAAAGAAGGATTAATGCTCCTTGTCATTGGGCCAATAAGAATATGATTAAAAAATTTTTGATAGCCAGCGTCCCCACCCGCCCGTATCAGAAAAACGAAAATGGAAAAAAAAGTTCAAAAAAAATTCATAACTCGATCAATTTTTGACCAAATTCCTGTTTCTTGGTCGCAAATTAAAGAAGGATTAATGCTCCTTGTCCTTGGGCCAATAAGAATATGTTTAAAAAATTTTTGATAGCCAGCGTCCCCACCCGCCCGTATCAGAAAAACGAAAATGGAAAAAAAAGTTCAAAAAAAATTCATAACTCGATCAATTTTTGACCAAATTCCTGTTTCTTGGTCGCAAATTAAAGAAGGATTAATGCTCCTTGTCATTGGGCCAATAAGAATATGTTTAAAAAATTTTTGATAGCCAGCGTCCCCACCCGCCCGTATCAGAAAAACGAAAATTGAAAAAAAAATTTTAAAAAAATTCATAACTCGAACAATGTTCGACCAAATTCTTGTTTCTTGGTCGCAAATTAAAGAGAGATAATTGATTCTTGTCATTAGACCAATAGGAATATGATTAAAAAATTTTTGATAGCCAGCGTCCCCACCCGCCCGTATCAGAAAAACGAAAATGGAAAAAAAAGTTCAAAAAAAATTCATAACTCGATCAATTTTTGACCAAATTCTTGTTTCTTGGTCGCAAATTAAAGAAGGATTAATGCTCCTTGTCATTAGGCCAATAAGAATATGATTAAAAAATTTTTGATAGCCAGCGTCCCCACCCGCCCGTATCAGAAAAACGAAAATGGAAAAAAAAGTTCAAAAAAAATTCATAACTCGATCAATTTTTGACCAAATTCCTGTTTCTTGGTCGCAAATTAAAGAAGGATTAATGCTCCTTGTCATTGGGCCAATAAGAATATGTTTAAAAAATTTTTGATAGCCAGCGTCCCCACCCGCCCGTATCAGAAAAACGAAAATTGAAAAAAAAGTTCAAAAAAAATTCATAACTCGATCAATTTTTGACCAAATTCTTGTTTCTTGGTCGCAAATTAAAGAGAGATAATTGATTCTTGTCATTAGACCAATAGGAATATGATTAAAATATTTTTGATAGCCAGCGTCCCCACCCGCCCGTATCAGAAAAACGAAAATGGAAAAAAAAGTTCAAAAAAAATTCATAACTCGATCAATTTTTGACCAAATTCCTGTTTCTTGGTCGCAAATTAAAGAAGGATTAATGCTCCTTTTCATTGGGCCAATAAGAATATGTTTAAAAAATTTTTCATAGCCAGCGTCCCCACCCGACCGTATCAGAAAACCGAAAATTGAAAAAAAAATTTTAAAAAAATTCATAACTCGAACAATGTTCGACCAAATTCTTGTTTCTTGGTCGCAAATTAAAGAGAGATAATTGATTCTTGTCATTAGACCAATAGGAATATGATTAAAAAATTTTTGATAGCCAGCGTCCCCACCCGCCCGTATCAGAAAAACGAAGATTGAAAAAAAAATTTAAAAAAAATTCATAACTCGAACAATGTTCGACCAAATTCTTGTTTCTTGGTCGCAAATTAAAGAGAGATAATTGATTCTTGTCATTAGACCAATAGGAATATGATTAAAAAATTTTTGATAGCCAGCGTCCCCACCCGCCCGTATCAGAAAAACGAAAATGGAAAAAAAAGTTCAAAAAAAATTCATAACTCGATCAATTTTTGACCAAATTCCTGTTTCTTGGTCGCAAATTAAAGAAGGATTAATGCTCCTTGTCCTTGGGCCAATAAGAATATGTTTAAAAAATTTTTGATAGCCAGCGTCCCCACCCGCCCGTATCAGAAAAACGAAAATGGAAAAAAAAGTTCAAAAAAAATTCATAACTCGATCAATTTTTGACCAAATTCCTGTTTCTTGGTCGCAAATTAAAGAAGGATTAATGCTCCTTTTCATTGGGCCAATAAGAATATGTTTAAAAAATTTTTCATAGCCAGCGTCCCCACCCGACCGTATCAGAAAACCGAAAATTGAAAAAAAAATTTTAAAAAAATTCATAACTCGAACAATGTTCGACCAAATTCTTGTTTCTTGGTCGCAAATTAAAGAGAGATAATTGATTCTTGTCATTAGACCAATAGGAATATGATTAAAAAATTTTTGATAGCCAGCGTCCCCACCCGCCCGTATCAGAAAAACGAAAATGGAAAAAAAAGTTCAAAAAAAATTCATAACTCGATCAATTTTTGACCAAATTCTTGTTTCTTGGTCGCAAATTAAAGAGGGATTAATGCTTCTTGTCATTAGACCAATAGGAATATGTTTAAAAAATTTTTCATAGCCAGCGTCCCCACCCGCCCGTATCAGAAAAACGAAAATTGAAAAAAAAATTTTAAAAAAATTCATAACTCGAACAATGTTCGACCAAATTCTTGTTTCTTGGTCGCAAATTAAAGAGAGATAATTGATTCTTGTCATTAGACCAATAGGAATATGATTAAAAAATTTTTGATAGCCAGCGTCCCCACCCGCCCGTATCAGAAAAACGAAAATGGAAAAAAAAGTTCAAAAAAAATTCATAACTCGATCAATTTTTGACCAAATTCCTGTTTCTTGGTCGCAAATTAAAGAAGGATTAATGCTCCTTGTCATTGGGCCAATAAGAATATGATTAAAAAATTTTTGATAGCCAGCGTCCCCACCCGCCCGTATCAGAAAAACGAAAATGGAAAAAAAAGTTCAAAAAAAATTCATAACTCGATCAATTTTTGACCAAATTCTTGTTTCTTGGTCGCAAATTAAAGAGGGATTAATGCTTCTTGTCATTAGACCAATAGGAATATGATTAAAAAATTTTTGATAGCCAGCGTCCCCACCCGCCCGTATCAGAAAAACGAAAATGGAAAAAAAAGTTCAAAAAAAATTCATAACTCGATCAATTTTTGACCAAATTCTTGTTTCTTGGTCGCAAATTAAAGAAGGATTAATGCTCCTTGTCATTGGGCCAATAAGAATATGTTTAAAAAATTTTTGATAGCCAGCGTCCCCACCCGCCCGTATCAGAAAAACGAAAATGGAAAAAAAAGTTCAAAAAAAATTCATAACTCGATCAATTTTTGACCAAATTCTTGTTTCTTGGTCGCAAATTAAAGAAGGATTAATGCTCCTTGTCATTGGGCCAATAAGAATATGTTTAAAAAATTTTTGATAGCCAGCGTCCCCACCCGCTCGTATCAGAAAAACGAAAATGGAAAAAAAAGTTCAAAAAAAATTCATAACTCGATCAATTTTTGACCAAATTCCTGTTTCTTGGTCGCAAATTAAAGAGGGATTAATGCTTCTTGTCATTAGACCAATAGGAATATGTTTAAAAATTTTTTGATAGCCAGCGTCCCCACCCGCCCGTATCAGAAAAACGAAAATTGAAAAAAAAGTTCAAAAAAAATTCATAACTCGATCAATTTTTGACCAAATTCCTGTTTCTTGGTCGCAAATTAAAGAAGGATTAATGCTCCTTGTCATTGGGCCAATAAGAATATGTTTAAAAAATTTTTGATAGCCAGCGTCCCCACCCGCCCGTATCAGAAAAACGAAAATTGAAAAAAAAAATTTAAAAAAAATTCATAACTCGAACAATGTTCGACCAAATTCTTGTTTCTTGGTCGCAAATTAAAGAGAGATAATTGATTCTTGTCATTAGACCAATAGGAATATGATTAAAAAAATTTTGATAGCCAGCGTCCCCACCCGCCCGTATCAGAAAAACGAAAATGGAAAAAAAAGTTCAAAAAAAATTCATAACTCGATCAATTTTTGACCAAATTCCTGTTTCTTGGTCGCAAATTAAAGGGAGATTATTGCTGTTTAAAATGTGACTATTGCATTTTTTTCTATAAACTGTAATAGCTAGCGTACGTTGTTTTTGCGTTGATTAAACCGTATAGGGCCACCGCGCTACTATATGTGTGTCGGCGCCTTTGGTTTTTTCTGACGGCTGGCGGCCGGCGGGTCGTTAGTTTCACCGAGCCATTTATTTAAAGAAAATTATTCTTTTTATGAATGTAATTAAATTTAGAAATTATGAAAAATTGAGTCGTCAAATTTAATCCTTCGATTGCTACTTTTTTACTACTTTCTGTAGTCTTAAAGCTACTTTTTGATGATTTTTTCATTCTTAAAGCTACTTTTTAAAATTAATTTAATTTTAATTTAATTCATTTTAATTTATTATCGAGTACGAAGCCTGTTTTTTTGAATATTTATATAATACCTGGAAGCTGTTCCCATTGCCGTGATCCAGGCTTGCATCATACCTCGAAAGAAAACAGCCGGATTCTTTTTCGTCACCAGCCAAAAAATCAATGGAAGCGTGATAATGGCGTGAATTGAAAGACCCATGATGACAGTGATCATGTATAATCCAAGCATTTGTGCCATCATTGCTAGATTTTGAATGGACATGATTTTTCCTGCTATCAAGCACATTATTCCGAACGGCGAGTACCTGCGAGATTTCGTCAATTGAGGCTAGTAAACGAAAAGCAGAAACTGTTAATCGATGACACACTTACTTTTTGTTTTGTCAAAAGAACAGTGGATAGTTTTTTTTATTTAAAAACATTATTTTTCTCTCCACCTTTTTTTTTATCTATACTTATACATAGAAAATTGATTTTGTTTTTTTTTTTTGTTTTTTTGTAGAGAAATTTGGTGTTAGAACTGACCACAATATAATGATGCCAACCAGTTTCATAACAAGATCGTTTAAAACAGCAAAGAAGTCGATCATTATTTTCCCCTTGGGTCCAATTTGTCCGGCGAGCAGTCCAAAGACAATGCAAAAGACAATCATTCCCATGACATTGGTGCCGTCCTTGTAGACCAATGTTGGCTCCAAAATGTAGTCGGTACGATTTTTACCCTCGAGAATGAGGATTTTTTTCTTCACGTACGATGTCTGCACCTGTTGGAAGCATGCTTGCACCAGGTTCTCCGGTACCATGTTTCTGTGGAAATTAACTTGTTCTTCGCACAAGCGATGCTTTCAAGTTGATTGTGAGTTGGTTTTACCTTATTATATCGAGAATTGCATCAATCGTTGATATCTTTGCCTCCTCGCCGAGTGTGTCGACCACTTTTGGTTTGATTTCCGGATTTCCAGGATGAATTATCAGTACCATTGCAATGCCCACTATTGCTGCTAGAATTGTTGTCACCATGTAATAGGTCAGGGCACGAAAGCCTATTCTTCCGGAACTTCGTGCATCAAGTTGAGCCATTCCTGTGAAAGATTTGGAAATATTTTTTTGAACTAGAGCTAAAAATTAGGGATTTAACGAGTGGGAAGTTTACTTAGCCAACTTCCCACTCGTTAAATCAGTCATTTTTATCATTAAATTGTACAAGAAGTTTTCTTCAACGCCTTGCGAGGAAAATTTGGAAAACAATTAATTTATATTATAAGCAGAGTGGCCACACATCTGTATAAAGTCAGGGAAATGTCAGGAAAACAAAATTTTTGTCAGTAAAGTCAAGGAAATGACAGGAAATAAAATTTTTTGTCAGGAAAATGAAGAAAATTAAGACTTTTTTCGATCTATTTTAAAAAATTGCGACTTTTTCGACTTCTTTTTTCAAATATTGCAACAAAATACCACATTTTTAAGTATAAAATGCAACTTATTTCGATTTTAATAGTGTGAAAAATAACTGTAAACAAATCTTTCAAAAATTATTCTTAAATCATTTTTCTATTTAAATTTTCAAAATATCGAATTAAAAAGATTTTGAATAATTGAAATTCTGAAAAATTTAATTGAAAATAATTAATTTTTTTCAAGTATTTTGTTACAATTATTTGTGAAAATCAACTTTTGAAGAGTACTAATTCAAAATTTTGAAAATAAATACATTTTTTGAAGGGATTTATTTGAAATTGTATTAATAATTAATTCTGAAAGCCTGTGAAAAATTTTACTCTTTATGAAAATAATTTAACTCTTTTAAAGAATTTTATTGAATTTTTTAAAATAATGAAATTCCAGTGGAAATTTTAATTATTTGTATAAATAATTGAATTCTTGCGAATGCTTTTCGTAAAACTTAGAGGAAGAATTAAATTTTTTTCAATTCTTTTATGAAAATTTAAAACAACAGTTTAATTACTTTGAAAAATTTGAATTTTATTATTTATGAATATAATTCAAGTTTTATAAACAAATGTTATAAAAGTTTTCGAAAATGATTAATTTCTTTCAAAGAATTTTATTGAAATATTTTAAATTATAGATTTCCTTCGAATAGTTTCAATAAATATTTTGAAAATTATTACATTTTTCAAGGAATTCATTTAAAATTGTATTAAAAATAATTGAAATCCAGCAAAGAATTTTATTATTTATGAAAATAATTGAAATCTTGCAAATAAATTTTATTGAACTTTTTAAAATAATTGAATTCCAGTGAAAAATTTTATTATTTGCATAAATAATTAAATTCTTGCGAAGGATTTTTTTAAAATTTAGGGAAATAATTAATTTTTTTTCAATTTTTTTATAAGAATTTAAAACAATAGTTCAAATACTTCGAAAAATTTATTTAAAATTTTAAATTAAAATAAAAATAATTGAAATCTTGAAAACTATTGAACTTTTTAAAATAATTGAATTCCAGTGTAAATTTTATTATTTCTAAAAAAAATTGAATTCTTGTGAATGATTTTCTTAAAGTTTAAGGGAATAATTGAATTTTTTTCAATTCTTTTATGAAAATTTAAAAAATAATTCAATTATTTCGAATAATAATTTAATTAAAATTGTATAAAGGTAATTAAATTCTTCCAATGATTTTTATTATTTATAAAAATAATTTAATTCTTATAAGCAAATTTTATCATAATTTTAGTAAATAATTAATTTCTTTCAAAAATTATTCTTGAATAATTTTTTAAGATAATTAAATCTTTCAAATATATCTGTAATTAAAATCGTTTTAAATAATTGAAATTTCATAAAATTTAATTGAAAATAATTACCTTTTTTTAAAGTGTTTTGTTACATTTATTTGAAAATCAACTTCTGAAGAGTTTTAATTCAAAATTTTGAAAATAATCAAATTATTCAAAATTTTAATGAAAAATCTTTAAATGTAAATTTAAAAATGAAAATTTGCTTCTAATTTTTTAAAATTCAATATTTTCAGTATTTTTAATTATATATTTTTGAAAATTCAAATACATACCAAAAATAATAACATTTTAGAATAATTTTTAACATTTTAGAGAAAAAAATCATGTTCAAAATTTTTAATTAAAATTCCTCAAGAAATTAATTAGTTTTTTTAAAATTATTCAAAAATTCTTTTAAGAAATTCAATTATTTTCGAACAAAGTAAATAAAAAATTAATAAAAATTTACTTTTTTAGATTTTTTAAAATTTTGAAGAAATTATGATCATATTTATAAATAAAATTCTTCCAAAATTTGATTATTTTTATTTATATTTTTCAAAACTTCAATTATTTTAAAAAGATTTTACCAAATTTCAATTGTTTGTAAATTTTTCAATTGTTTATAATATTAAAAACTAATATCTTTCAAAAATTATTCAAATATATTTTAAAAAAATGTATTGTAAGAATTTCTTTATTATATAATTGTTTGAAATAGCTTAAGAAAAAAACATGTACAGTTACAATTATTATAAAAAGTTGAGTTTTTGTATTTAAATAATATTGAATTCTAATAGAACGTTTAGAAAATTATTCAAAATAATTGATGTAGAGATGAAGTTTAGTTGTAAATTGTAGAAAATAATTAAATTCAGGAAGGGTTATAATTGTAATTTTTAGAAATTATTAAAATTCATAAATTTTACTCATTTTCCATGAAGTTTTTTATTTTTCTGTAAAAAGAATTTTGTCAGGGAATATAATTTTAATGTCAGTAAATTGTCAGGAAAATGTCAGGGAAATTGATTGTCTGAAACTTGTGACCACTCTGAATAAATTAAATAATTTGTTGTACCTGTAATGAGCGAAGATATAATCAAGGGTAGAATGAACATTTTCAACACTCGCATTAGAATTTCTCCTGGGAAGCTGATTAGCATTATTGAATGGGAAGAGAAATTTGCTAATCGACCTAGGAATCCGAGAATCAAACCCAATAAAACGGCAATAATCGTCAGCACCAGTACCGAATTCTCTCCTATCCATTTTATCACCTGGATTTAAAATCAAATTGATTAAGAAAGAACATTTTCTTCAATTTTTTTTTGGAAATTTTCAATTTCAAATCATGAACAAACCACTTGAAGTCTTTGCAGAGATTCGGACGGAAGAGGTTTGTTCTCCTCCTCATCTTCAGAAGTCATTTTTTCCAAATCCTTTGATCTAGACAGAAAATAAAAATCAAATTTTCAGAAAAAAAATCTTTCTTTTAGAAAGAAAAATTTTTTTCTTTCTAAAACTTTCTTCTGAAAGTTGTTTTATGAAATAAATTTCGATAAAATTTAATTTACGTGTAGCCTTGCTGCGTCTCCAGAGGGGCACCTCGAAGAACAGCGACAGCCCCGGAAATTCGTTGACCCAGTGACATTTTGCTTCAGTGATCTCCTGGAAAAAAGACTTTCAGGAATACTTTGTGAGTCGTCCTTGAAATAACTGGAACAGGGAATCCCCCGGAAGTATCGCTCTGTGTCTCATGTCCAATCTATCTCGATTTCCAAATTTGGAATCCACTTTATCCGGAATTCTTCTTCTTCTTCTTGCGAAGAATTTTAAAATTTCTAATCACTTTGCACTTGTATTGAATTTTTTAAAAATATTATTTAGGGAAATATTTGACTTGAATATTAATTGTCTTGATGATGATAATTATTGTTGAAAAAAGGAGGGAAAAAAAGGAAACTAATTTCGCGATTGATAAGACTTCTAGAACTGAAAGTGACTGTCGTACGATCTAATCTCCGTAGGCTCGTGTTGGTATCGCCTCGTTGCGTTCTAGAATCAGGCAGATAATGTAGCCCCATCCAGGAAGCTGATTCGTTCACGAGAGGGAGGAGAGGGACGGAGGAGAGGGTCTTACAGGAAGAGGGCACTCATCACGACGGGTCGCACGGCACCGATTTAATTCATCTCAAGCCCCTTTTTGCGAATACCATTATTCCTGATCTATTTCAGACGTATATATGAGCCTCCGGAAAGTATAACAACACATAAAATTCTGACCGCCATGCTAATTCAATGGGCGTCAGAATTTCATGTGTGAATTTGAGCTTCTTTTGAATACAAAGATTTTCTTAAATTTTAGGAAAAAAATTAGTCCTTTGTAAATTTATTATCTTGTTAGGTGGAATTTATTCTAAAATGGAATTAATATTGAAACGAATTTTCACAATTTGGAATTTTTATTCAGCCGAAGCTTTTTAATTGAAATTATTTTTAACTGCAATTTTTTTAGCGAATTTTATTGACTAACATTATTTTTATCTGGGATTTTTATTTAAGCGAATAAGTTTATTAATTAAAGTTAATTCATACTTTGAATTTTTATTCAAGCGAAGTTTATTCGCTCAAATTATTTTACGTAGAATTTTTATTTAAGAGACGTTTAAAAGTACTTTTACTTGGAATTTTTATTCAAGCAAATTTTATTGAATGAAAATTGCAAGTAAAAATTATTTTAATTAATAAACTTGGCTCAAATAAAAATTCCAAGTAAAAATTATTTTAAATAATAAACTTAGCACAAATAAAAATTCCAGAAGAAAATAAATTTAATTGATAAAATTTGATCAATACAAATTCTAGATAAAAATCATTTTAATTAATAAATTTCGCTTATTGATAAATAAAACTTCCAAGTAAAAGTAATTTTAATTAAGTAAAGTTTATTAATTAAAATTATTTTCACTAGGAATTTTTATTTGGTTTATTAAATAAAAATTCCAAATTCGCTCAAAAAAATTCTAAAGTTTATTAATTAAAATTATTTTTACTTAAAATTTTTATTAAATAAACTTCGCTAAAAAAAATTCTAGATAAAAATAATTTTAATTAATAAACTTCGTTTATTGTTAAATGAAAATTCCAAATTAAAAATAATATTAATGAAGCGAAAATTATATGTATTAAATTTATTTTTACTTGGAGTTTTTCTTTAATAAACTGTACTTAAATAAACATTCTAATTGAAAATAATTTTAATTAATTAACTTCGCTCAAAAAAAATTTTAAATAAAACTCATTTTCATTAATAAACTTCGTTTATTTTTAAATATAAATTCAAAGTAATTGTAAAATAATTTCAAATTAATTACACAATCAAAAATTACAGACTTTCATTACCAAAAAATTTATTTTAGTTATTTTAGTTAATTTTCTTAGTTTACATATTTTAATTATGAATTTAATGGTATTAACTAAATTAATAAACTAATTAACTTAAAATTTAATTAAAAAAATAAAATAAAATTTATAAAATTGTTTCGCGGCTAAAATGAATGTATAAAATTAATTATTAAAATAAATATTTATACTAAATATAAATAATAATAATTAATATGATAAAAATAATAATCAGTATTATTATAATTAATATGTTAATAATAATATTAATTATTTTATATGCAGAAATTTTTAAATGATCTGAAATAAGCTCGACATTCTTTTCGAGAATGATGCCATTTATCTAGGTCATTTACAAGAGTCCCCTTGCATATTGAATGAACGTAATTCAAATGATTATGATCTATGATTGGATCCGCGTAGTTTATCTCCCATGGTGAAAATACCATGAGTTTGAATTTAGAAAAAAATGCCCTTATTCATTAACCCCCCAGAAATTTTCTTAATGGAGAGTTTTTATATTTTCCAAAAAGAAATAATTAGTGAAAATTTGCTAAAATTTTTATTATAAATTAGTATTTAGAAGGAATAGATTTTTTTACAACTTTTTTTTAATCTCAAAAATTCATTTTATGAAACACGTTTACATTTTTTTGTAATGTTTAAATATTTTATATTTGATTATATTTTTTATTTTATTATTTTATTTATTTTTATATAATAAAATTTAGATAATAAAATAAAATTATTATAATTATTTATTATTTATTAGTAATATATTAAACTTAATTATTTATTACTTTTTAAGTGAAATATTTTATATTTTTTACATTAAAATATTTTACGTATTTTAATATTTAACATATTTAAAAAAAATGTTATTTACAAGATATATTAATTAATTAAATAGTTATCTTATTCATTGTTGCATTTAATTTATTAATATGCAATGCACTATTGTATTAATTTTATATGATTAATTAATAATTGCAGTAACTTGTAATTAATAGTTAGTAATTTTATATTATTATTTGTTTTGTTAAATGGTTAAATCGTATTATTCGTATTTTTATTTGTTTAAATAATAAAAAGAAAACATTTTTCAATAAATATAAATTTAAAAGTTCGCGCGTTTCTAGAGAGCGGTAGAGTGGGGATGGTTGTCTGCTCACTTCACACTGTTGGCTCGCGATTAGTAAACAGCAACAAGTGACAGTTGAAAAACAGTTAGAACTTAGAAATGAGTTTTTTAAACGCAGATCGAGCTTCTGCAAGAGAAAAATTTAACTTTTATAATACTTTAGCTGTTTTGTTAAAAGCTGTAGAAGGTCATAAAACAACAATCGATTTACGAAATGAATCGTACATTACTGGAATAGTAAATCATGCTGACGGGTGTGTGTGTTAAAGAAGTAATTTTATCGAGTAAATAAACATAATTATTTCTTTTTTGTTACAGATACATGAATGTTGAGATGAAGGACTGCATTTTTACCGATTCCCGAGGAGATTCATTTAAGTTTGAAATGTTTTTCGTACAAGCACGAAATATTCGTTTTGTTCACATTCCTCCCCATGTAAGTAGTTTTTCAATTTTTCCTTTTCGTTACTATTATGCTAAATAACTGTTGAATATTACTTGCAATTATCTTTATTCGTGATCTTTTGCCCCACTTGATGTTGAAAATCGAGTATAAAATTCATAAAATTTGCCGGTCGCGAACATAACCTAAAAACGTGTTTACTTTTTGTAAGTCGACAGTCGACACTCGATTCTCGCTAAATGAAACTATCCAAAACTATCGATTCTAGTGAAAGAAAATCGAGAAAAACAACTAAATTTGTCACGTGTACGTGTAAACAGTTATAACCTTCCTTATTGTTAGAATCTTTAGAGTAATCACTCTTAATTTTGTTCTTGTCGCTTGAGTCTCAACGATTCAATTCTGTTCTTGTCGCCCTACTTGTTTGTTAATTTCGTCATGGCTTCTTTTAAATTAAGTAACTACGACTGCATTGGTTTTGATTTGGACAATACATTATTACAATACAAGGTATCAAATTTAATAAAATTATCCTACGGATTGTTAACTGATTTTTTGGTCGAACACAAAAAGTATAGTGAAAAGTATTTAAAGAGAACTTTAACTGACAGTGACTTTGATTTTATGCAAAAAGGCTTAGTTTTGGATATAAGACGAGGTAATATTTTAAAACTTGACGCTAATGGATTGGTTTGGAAAGCAACTCATGGAACAAAATTATTAACAACTGAAGAATTACTGTCTTTTTATCCAAATCAGAGATTTGAATTTTCCGATATTTTCACGACAGATTTACATTCCATATGGAATGGTGAACTTTCACTGCAAGTTAGAACAGTTTTAGACTATTTTGATATATCGGTGAGTGTTATTTTTGCGAATATGGTTGATTCTATCGACGGGGAAAATGGAAAGCAGTCAGTTTACGATTTTTGGCCTGATATTCTTGATTCGCTGAAATATATTTACTCGGTGGAAAAATTTAAGTCGAGTGAAGGTGTATTTTTGGAATTTAAATCAAATCCGGAAAAGTATTTTCATAAATGCAGTTCGGAAACAATTTCCTGGATTCGTGAATTGAAGAAGAAGAGGAAGACTTTTTTGATTACTGGATCGGATTATGATTTTATGAATTTTACGGCTAGTTACGCAATGGGAGAGAATTGGCGATCACTTTTTGACGTTGTTGTTTGTTTTGCGTGTAAACCGGGATTTTTCGCTTTTGAAAGACCATATTTTGGAATTGAGGATAAAGCGGAGGAAATTGTGCCTGTTGAAGAATTTTTAGAGGGAGGTGTTTACAGACGAGGGAATTGGAAGGATTTGGTGAAATTTTTCACTCGTATTACAGGGAAACATGAACCTGTTTGTTTATATTTTGGCGATAATATAATGCAGGATGTTTACGTTCCGAATAAGAAAGCCAATTGTGATACTATGGTTGTAGTCGACGAACAATTAGCTGAGAGAATGTTACATCACGAATTATCGCACACTGACGAAAGTATTATTAATTCTGAATTTTGGGGTTCCTATTTTTCGTTGAGAGAACCCGATGGTTTTAAAGATACATTTTGGAATCATATTATTCGAACTCATGCGAAAGTTTGTATTCCTCAAGTAAATATTATTTCCACGATTCCTTTAGAACAGTCGATAAAATGTTTCGTTAAAGACGATGTTAATTCTTGTGGATATTATCCTGGGAAACCTCTTTCTTTGCACCTTTGATTTCATCTTTTGTTTAAAGGTATTTTTTTTGTGATTTGAAAAATTATTTCTTGTGTTGACAATTTGAATTATTTCTAGTTTTTTAGAAAAGAAGTTTGTTTTGTAAATTTAAATTTACCATTTATTCTATTAGAGTAAAAAATTTATTCTGTTCTGCGAATTGTTTATGTTTGAAAGTCTGAATTTTTTTTTAAAGATGCCTATAATACCGGCTATTAAGGATCAGCTGCACAAAGTGTCTGGGCATCTGGTCAAAGAGAAAAGTACAAAACTCACAGGCAAACAATCGAGAGTTTTAAATTCTCAACGGCAAGGATTAGCTGATGTTAAGCAGATTTTAGAGGAGAGGAAAAGTAGAGCAATAGAGAGCACGTCAAAGACGAATTAGAATTGTAATAGTATTAAAAAAGTCTGATAGGTTATTTTTATCGAAAAAAATCGAATTAGAATATGTAAGAGGATTTTTTTTCTATTTTGCTGTTGAAACAAATAGGTTTCTTCTTTAAAAAAAAAAAAAAATTGACAAACTTCGTTAGAAATATTTATTGTTTCATAAAAATGTTAGCTTTTTTCGGTATAAAAAATAAATGTCTTTATTCTCACAAATTCGTGTAAGATTTGTTAAAAACTTTTCGATTACATAGAAGTCTTCGAAGTTTGTATTTATACATATATTATAATAAACTAGAGTTTTTAGAAGAGAAAACAATTTTTTGTCATAAATATCAATCTCGTTAAATACGTCATTGGATCAGTGTTCATTGAAAAAAAAAAATGTATTTTGCTCTCTTTGAATTCATTGTTAGTCATTTTATATTTAATGAGTGAATGTATAATTTTTCTCTTTGAGATTAAAAATCGTTCTATGCTCAGTTTCAGATCGAAAACAATTTTTTTTTTCAATGAATGATCGTTCCTCAACCTTTTTCTTCTAAATCGTTGTTTAATTTGAAAATTTATTAGTTTTCATTTGTATTATATTCTTTCTATGGCAATAGCGATTCCCATTCCTCCTCCTATACACAAGGATGCCACTCCTTTTTTTAATTGCTTTCGTTCTAGTAAGTGTAGAAGGGTTACTAGAATTCTTGCACCTGAAAAATTTCCAAATTCTGTTATTTGATATCTAGACTTCTATTTGTTGTTTATTTTATTTATTTTCACCTATTTTTATTATTCTCTTCTGTATTTTCTCTTATTTTCTTCACTATTTTTTGTCACATTCGGATTGTTATTTTTTTGTCGGTAAAATTCACAACGTTTATAATCAACGATTGAAAGAAAAAAAAACTTTCCTGACAAAGACAATAAAATTTTTTGTTTACAAATATTCGAAAATTATTAATTAAAAAGCTAAGCAAAACAATGTTTATACAATAATTTATCTAAATTTAAACAGACAAATATTTCTTCTAAATCGTTGATTATATTTAATCGTTAGTTTCACTGACGTTTGATTTTGAATTTAATTTTTACGTTTCGAAATAGTAATTTGGCTTTTTTACCTTTTCAAATCTTAATTTCGAAATAATGTCTTGTATTGGAATTAAAGAATTTCGTAATAGTAATTAGGCTTGCAGTGAAATTAAATAATTTCTAAATAGTATTTTAGCTTGCATTAAAAATGGATAATTTACCCGATGCTCCGATTGGATGACCTAAGGCAATTGCTCCACCATTTACATTTACTTTATTGGGATCCAGTCCCAAAGCTCGAAGACAAACGAGCGATTGAACCGCAAACGCTTCGTTCAATTCATAAAGATCAACTTCATCTTTCGTCCAATTGGCTTTCCTTAACTAGAAAAAATAAATTTATAATTTAATAATTTAATAATTATAATTAATTTTTGCAATTAATTTGAATTTTGAAATTTGAATTGAAAAAAAATTAAAATTTGAAGCATTTTAATTTTTTTTTAAATTTACCACTAATTCAACAGCGGGTATTGGTCCAGTACCCATAATATCTGGTTCGACTCCTGCTTGAGCAACAGCGACAATTCGTGCCATTGGAGTTATTCCCTTTTTAGTTGCGACTTCTGCAGACATTAAAACAACAGCTGCCGCTCCGTCGTTTATTCCAGAAGCGTTTCCTGCCGTTACAGTGCCGTTTGACTAGAGAAGGATTTAAAATTAATGTTGTTATTTCAATTTGATTTTTGTTTAAAATTAAAAAATTGTTTAAATTAAAATAATTTTAATTTATAACGAAAGGATGAAAATTATTTGTAGGTACTTTGAGAAATGCTGGCCTTAGCCTGCCGAGTCCTTGAGCAGTGGTTCCTGCTTTTGGGAATTCGTCTTTTGTCATAACAATAGTTTCCTTTCTAGACTGAATCGTTACTGGGACAATTTCTTTATCGAAATATCCAGCTGCTATCGCGGCCTCAGCCTTTTGTTGAGATTTTGCCGCATACTCGTCTTGATCCTCTCGATTAATTGTGAAATTTTTAGCTATATTTTCCGCTAAAAAATACATAGTTTCATAATGTTTACAAACAAGATTTTAAACAAGATTTACGAAAATTTGTTAAAGAAGGCGTAAGGCTTCTTTAAAAATTTTTCGTAAATCTTGTTTTTTGCCTATTTCGTCTCTTTTTTTCTTTTTTTTTACTACAAAAATAAAAATACAAGTTGTATGAATATTTAGATATTTTAAATTTCCATAAATTCCCTTATTTTCGAAATTCGTACAAACAAAATATTTACTTAATTATTTTCTCATTTTTTGAATATATTAAGTTACGAAATCTTATTAGATTTCATAATCACTTGAAGTTGGAATACTAGTGTTTATTTCAAAATCTCGAATATAACGTTTTATATAGAAAATTAAATCTAAAAAATGAAAATAACTTTCAAACGAACAACAATGTTTTTAATTCTGAAATAATTTTGTTCTGAGTAAATATTTTTAATTTTCATATTTTTTCATTCCATATTTTTTTGGATGTTTTTTTACCGGTAATTCCCATATGGATTTGATTGAACGCATCAGTCAGACCATCAACGAGCATCGTATCGACTAGATTTCCATCTCCCATTTTTGTTCCATTTCTCAAATGAATTGCATGTGGTGCTTGACTCATGCTTTCCTGTCCACCAGCGACAATTACGTCATTCTCTCCTGACTTGATGGAAATATAGGCATTGGTGACAGATCTAAATATGAAAAAAGAATTTTGAATCATAAAAACCATTATTCAATAGAATGAAATAAATTTAAATAGATAAAATATTATTTAGCATTTTCTCTTGGAATATTTGTTAAGGGTCATCAAAAGAAAAGGAGTTGACATACTTGAGGCCAGAGCCACAGAGCATGTTCACCAGATAAGCAGGCACAGAAATTGGAAGTCCTGCATTTATTGCCGATTGTCGTGCTGGATTTTGTCCTTGAGTTGCTGTCAATGCCTGGAAAATTATTATTAAAAATTTCCAAGTTTAATATTATTGTTTCAATATTCTTTTATCTATTCTCCATTTTATCTAGTATGTAAATTCATCACCTGACCGAAAATGACCTCGGAAACATCGGTTGGTTCTAAATTTGCTCTTTTCAGACTCTCTTTTATTACAATACTTCCTAAATCTGAGGCTTTTAGTGTTGATAACGTTCCGCAGAATGAGCCTAGAAAAGAAAAATTAATTAATTATTAATTTGATTATTAATTTAGTTGTGAAAATTATTCTTTGTCAAAATAAATTATTTTTTGGCAAAATAAATTATTTTTTGGTCAAATAAATTATTTTTTGGTAAAATAAACTATTTTTTGTCAAAATAAATTATTTTTTGATAAAATAAATTAATTTTTGTCAAAATAAATTATTTTTTGTCAAAATACTAAATGGATCGGAAATTACCAAAGAAATATTTAGTTATTATTTCAGAATTCAAATTATAATTAATTTGTAAATAACTTTTCATTGATAATTTTTCTTTTTATTTAATTTAATGTAACTTATTCGAAATCAAATAGAAATTTTATTTCAGAATTTTATTTAGAATTAAAATTATAATTAATTTGTAAATAACTTTTCATTGCTAATTTTTCTTTTAATTTAATTTAATTTAATGTACAATCAACTTATTCGAAACTAAATAGAAATTTTATTTCAAATAAAAGAAAATTAGGTTTTTTATTATTTATTAATTTACATTAGTTGCTAAATTAATTTTACTGAAAAATGTTCTATTTACAAATTTTTTTCTGGATTAAAGAAATATTTCTTGTCCAAATAAATAATTTTAAAATTCGAAAATACTGAGTAACAAAATACTGAATATTCAGAAATTCAAAAATAGTTATGTAAAAAAATACACTACTTTAGAATGTTAATTAAAACTAACATATTTATCACATTATTAAAATTTTAATTGAACCATTTGAATTTTAATTCTTACAATGAAAATTTTAATGGATCAATCAAAAATTTGTACACAAAAGTGTAAATTTTAATTCAACAATTTTAAATTCAAAGCAAAATTTTAACTCAACTTTTAAAATTATAAATAATCTTATTGAATCACTAATTAATTGTTTATTATATCTAAAAAAATATTATTTCCTAAATAAATTTTCATTCAGGCAAAAGAAAGTTCTCCATAAGGATAGAATATTTTAGAAAAGTTGTAGAATTTAAAAACGGTACTTTGTATTCTTTAAAGGAATTTGAATGGGGTTAGTGGCACACATGAGATGTAATTTGGCTATTTTCTGGAAATTTAAAAAAAATGATTTTATTACAATTATTTTTATTTACCTATTGGTGTTCTAACTGCAGAAACAATAACTACTTCACGATCACTCATTGTTGCTTATTGTCGGTTTTTACTTAAATAATAAATAACAACAACTAAAGACAGACTGCCGCCGTGAATCTTCGTTAGAGAAATATATAGCAGCCGATATTCCGGGCCGACGACATTTTTCAGGGCCGTATACTCAAATCAAGTAGCCAGCGTACTTTAGAAAATTTTGATTTTCTTAATTTACACTTTTTGGATGCAAAATAAAATTTTTCGGGTTTATCGTATTTGAAAAATAGAAAAATATTTCGAAAATAGTGTGACGCTATTTTAGAAAAAAATATTTAAAAGGTTAAGTTTTTATTTATAGTATTACAAGCAAAATTGTCTAATAACGTTGGAAATAAAGTTTCCCCCGGTGATAAAGTATAAATAATAATTTTCCCCACTGTTAATATTTCCACCCTACAGCACTTGTTAGAACCGGGGCTTTTTTTTCAATATGTACGCACCTGTCGGTGTACATGACGTATCGAGTAATACAACTTTTATCCAACAGGTGGCGCAGCGGTTGAATTTGAAGTTCGTTTGTTTTTACCCAGAATGCATTGTGATCAGTGACTGGTGCTAAGATGGCTGACAACAAGGAGGAGATTTCGGAGCTCGTCGTAAAACGAGGTATTTATCAAACATTCATGACTTGCCCGTCTTGTTGGTCCTTCTTAAAAGATTGCCCATTCCCAAATGATAATCAGGTTAGCTTTAGAATTCCCTGTGCTTCGTAAAACCGTGAAAATTACCACCATCTGTACGTGTAGTACATGTCTCGATGAAAGAGTGCGAATCTTTTTTTGCCGATTGTCGAGCAAATTTAGCCTCGTATGTTTAATTGAGAACATCTCAATTGCTCTCTGTTCTTTATGAATTTTAAGTGTCGGTTGATGATAATCAACCACCTGTGAAGATGAGAGTCAACTTTTTTTTTCTCATTTTTTTTTTTTTTGACAAGTGCCTCGACGTCTACTTGACAGCCTACGTGCACTGGACTTGATCGCACACCCTTCGTGTACGACACGGTCGGCCAGACAGACAGACACATGCGAACGTGTGTCGAGTATATTACTCTATGCTCCTATGCTCGTTACTCATTAAGGTCATAATACCAACGGCCTTGCAATTGTCACTGACGTTAAAAGTTTATAGAGATTTGTCGTCAGAGGGGAAGGAGAAAAAAAATGGCACAATCCAAACCCGGTATTTTTTTTTCGCCAAATTAAAATACCGTGATTCATGCTGTGTTAATTCGTGGATCCATTTCTGGAAAGGAACCTTCACTGGGTAGGGGGGAAACTGACATGTGTTCGTTTTTCAGTGGCAACGTTGTATTACACTGTGATTACCGATTTACGTTTTATCGTCCGTGAAACAGACCCACGAATCGATTCCCACATGACCGGTTAAACAGGCTTTTTTCTTTTATTTATTTATTGGATGTGTTTGTGTCGTGTATACAACTAGGTAATAGTTAATAGTCTAACCTAATTTCATAATCGAGTGTTTTGAAATTGAAACAATTTCTCTTGACAGCGTGAAACAGAGAAGTTGAATTTTGAGGTTATGTCGCTCTCTCTCTCTCTCGTTATCTTTCGTAGATGTTGATTATTCAGATAAACGGTTATACGTCATTCTCATCCTTGGAATTGTCAACCGATTCATCAACTTTATTCAGTGTCTTGATATTTAGTTAAATGCAATTTGTCATTTTTTATTTTTTCTTGTGTGTAAGATGTCATTTCTGCAAAGTCAGAATTATAAGCAGTGTGTGTTTCGTCATTTCGTGGTATAATCAATACTCAGGAAAGTTCTATAGGAAGTTGTGTTTTAATTTCACGGAATTCGTTGGAAAATTTCATAAATTTTTTAGTAGAAAATGTGACCAAAAATCCGCAGTGTGAAATTGGAGTGAATATTTAAAAATAAAATACAAATAGAGGATTTGTGGGGAGAATTTAAACGGTTCTTTAGAGGTTAAAATTATACCTGGTATTGCGTAGATTTTTTTTTTATTTTTTACCCTTGAGATTTTTGAATGTTATTAACAAAATCATAGAAAAAAAAATTGTAAATTTACTTTAGTATTTTTTGTATTGTTTGTTGCGGAATTTTATCACTGTTTTGAATATTTTACTTGCGTGATTTATCGGAAATCGATGGAAATATAAATATTTGTTAAAATTATACTGGTAATGAAAAATTTTATATTATTAGTTTATATAGAATTTTATACTGTTGGTATTAACCAGAATTTTGATTATTTCACCTAGAATATTTTTTAGCAGTTTTTATAATATAAATAAATTTTGGACAAGTTAGAAATGATTGCAGAAATTTAATTATTTTCAAAAGTAATAAAATTCTTCGCAGAAATTCAATTATGTTAAAAAAAATTCTCGTTAAAGTTCAATTATCTTTAAAAATAATAAAATTCTTTTCCAAAATTCAATTATTTCCAGAAATTTTAATAAAAATCTTGGCAAAATTTCAATTATTTTTAAAATTCTTCCTCAATTCAATGATTTTCGATATCTAGTATTTTAATAAAATTTTTCAAAACAATTCAATCCAAATTTTTATAAATTTCTTTGCAATAATTCAATTATTTGCATAAATAATAATTTTTTTTACAGAGATTCAATTATTTTCATGAATAATAAAACTCATAATAGAATTTCAATTATTTTTAATACAATTTTAATCGAATTCCTCGAAAAATGTAATTATTCATGAAAATTTTATTAAAATTTGTCGAAAAAATTCAATTATTTAAAAATTTGTTTATAAAATTCTTTACAAGAGAATTCAATTATTTAAAAATTTGTTGATAAAATTCTTTACGAAAATTCAATTTTAAAAAGCATTTAATTACTTAATAAATTATTAATGTTTGTAGTTAAATAATTAAATTCTCGTAAAATTTTCTAAAAAAAACTAATTTAAAAATGAATTTCAGTTAAAATTTTAAATAATAATTGAATATTGAAAATATTACAGCATGAATTTTAAAAAGGTTTTTTTAATTTCAAATCTTTAATTGAATTTTTGTGTTGGAATTATTTCAAGATTTTATATTCTAAATATTGAAGAATTTCTGAATAATAAAATTGAATTGAATTGCAAACAAATGGATTTGAAAATTCTCAAGGAACTTTTTCAAAAAGTATTAAAAATAATTGAGAATTGATTTCTTTCGAGGAATTTTAATAATATTTTTGAAAATAATTACATTTTTCGAAAAATTTACTAAAATTGTATTAAATATAATTGAAATCCTGTGAAGAATTTTAATATTTAGGAGAATATTTGAATTCTTGCAACGAATTTTTAATACATTTTTTTTAAATAATTGAAATCCTGTGAAAAATTTTATTATTTCTGAAAATAATTGAATTCTTGCAACGAATTTTATTAACATTTTTTTAAATAATTGATTTTTTCATTATTTGTGAAATTTAATTCAATTCTTGCAAATAAATTTTTGGAAATATTTACATTTTTCGAGGAATTTATTTAAAATTTTATTAAAAATAATTGAAATCTTATGAAAAAAATTTATTATTTATGAAATTAATTGAATTCTTACAACAAATTTTATTATGTATTTCTTAAAAATAATTGAATTCATGTGAAAAATTTTATTACTTGTAAAAATAATTTAATTCATGAGAAGGATTTTATTAAAATTTTTGTAAATAATTTAATTTTTTTTGGAAAATTGTATGGAAATTTAAATTATTTAAAACATAAAGATATCAATCAGTCAGGGAAAAACATAATTAATTTTTTGGTTGCAACCTTATATTTTTTCTTGAAATAAAATTTGTATTACAATAAATTTGCATCAAAAAAGTTAATTATGAAGTTTAAAAAATTTTTATTTTTTTTTACAAATATTTATGAAAATATTTGTAATAAAAAATACTTATTTCATTTAAAGGATCGAAACTTTTGAATTTATATTTAATATTCATTAAATATTGTCAATCAAAATTGAAAATTCATTTATAAAATTGATTAGAAAACATGAAAACAGTACGAAAAATATTTTTAAAAAAGAAAAAAATTAAATTAAATGTGCGAATAATCTAATTTTTTTATAATTGTCGTCGAATCTTTTTTTGGATAAATTCTAGAATATACAAGAAGGTTATTCATAGCAGTTAGTTTATGAAAAATAAATTGAATCTTTTTTTGGTTATCGAGACATCGACTCTAATCAAGAAATAGTGAAAAAAATACTTGTGGTTATATTTCTATCATTGTAGTTAGGATATTTATATATTGTAACGATTATTCACGACGTCAGCTGTTAGTCTCCAGGACATATTTCTCGATTCCAAAGATCCCAAACCCTTCGTCTCGAGTGCACACTCTTGAAAGAAGTTGAGTATATAATATTGAACAATGCGCCATGCCAGTTGGTCTGATTCACTAAACATGCTGCATTCCCCCTCCTCTCCCCCTACACGTGAGGAAGTCGATGTTTAACGAATTTATAGATATTGCATGGCAATGTCAGCTGCTATTTTTCCTATACTATTTTATATCCGGTCTATTATTCCATAACCTGTGAGGTAATTCTTCTTCTAATTCCTCACGACCTGTTGCGCCGCTGTTTCACCACTCAATCTTTTTTTTTTTTAACTAGTCAAACAGCCTCAAATATGTACAGTTGTTTCTTTAAAACTGGAATTCTCTCTCTTTATTTGGCAATCAAATAGTTTAAAGATTCCAATATTGGAAAGGAATGTGGCCAATGATTTAACTAGAGAAACGTATGCTCGCTAGGAAATCTTCTGGTTTGTTCCTCAAAGAGATGTTTTTTTCTTAAATTAATTATTCCTTTTTGGTTTTTTTTTAAATATTTGGGGAAAATTAAAATTTTGTGGTAAAACCGAGTAAGGATTGCCACGCACACTGGAAACCTGGAAAACCCTGGAAATGTCAGGGAATTTTATAAACCTTGAAAAAACCTGGAAAAGTCTGGGAATTTTGATCGAAATCCTGAAAATTGTTGTATTTATTCTTGAAATCTAACTTTACTTAAATATTTTAAAATTAATTCAATTTTTAAAAGAGTTGCGTTTACAATTTTCATAAGCAGATGAACTTCAAAAGATTTTGATTTAAATTTTTTTTTTATTTCAATTTTAAATGAATTTAATTAGAAATTTTAAAAAACATAGATTTTTAAAAAATTTTAATAACTAAAATTCTTCTGAAGTTAGTTAAATTTTTTAATATATATTTAATTATTAAAAATAATGGATTTATAGAAGAATTTTAGTTAAAAACATTAAAACAAATTAAATTTTGAAGCAATTACAAAATGATTGCAGAAATTCAATTATTTTCAAAAACTTTGATAAAATTCTTTACAAAATTTTAATTATTTTTTAACTTTCCTCAATTTAATGATTTTTAATATCCACTACTTTAATAAAAATTCCCAAATGAATTCAATAAGTTTAAAAAAAACTTTAATAAAATTCTACGCAAACATTTCATTATTTTCATAAATAATCAAAATTTCACAGGAATTTAATCATCTACAAATTATTTCCATAAAATATTATTCAATTATTTTTTTAAATAATGACACTTTTTACAGGGATTCAATT